TACCCCTTTGAAGCCGTGACCATTTCATTTCAGCTACAATATAGAACATGGTCACTTGACTCTTCATTTGGAAAACACAGAAACAATTTTGCCTGGCAAAGTTGGAGAGCATTCAGCTTTTCTATTAAAACCCCATTAGGCTAAATTCACTTGAAACCACGTTGTACAGCTGACACCCAACAGCAAATTACAATTCGACCATTTCTAGCCGGTATTCGGTAGTGCCCCACTGCTACACTTACCATGTATAGTATAATCGTGCAACAAATGGGATCCTAACCTATTATGGTGGACGGCCTCCCCAGGGGACACCAATTACCAAAAAGAAATAATCAAATTATAATTTGTTACCCTGGATAATCGGTGAAACGCAACTTCAATTGTCATTGAAAACATCTACAGCCAAATGCCTAAAGTCTAATATCAAACATTATGCTTAACTAGAACTAGCTCAAGGTTGATTAGGTATAATAATATTGAGATAAATAAATCCTTCCATCAAAGGGCCCCATTCAATTCAGATTTGTATGCATGTTTCAACTGCTTCTACACGTTGAGATGAGCTCAGGAAACATTAGTTCAGTCACAAGTTCAGTTCAATCAACATAGAAGTTATTTATGTAAATTCAAAACTCATGATCCTCCATGTTGGAAACAACACTGTTTCTATTTTAGTATTATGTAGATAAAACCTCATAACTGTAATAAAGGCTTCAGGCCCATTTCGATACTCTAAATATTGTAAATAACCCTATTGTAACTATATTTTTTCTGTAAATAAATGAACCCTCCCCTTCTTTCCACCATAAATGGTAGTTGCTCAGCCAAAAAGGCAACTACATGAACTGTAATTACGTAAAAAACTAAAAATCATTAATGTAAATAAAGGCTAAGGATCACTACGAAAGCTAATTAGGTATCGTAAGAATTTCATTATAATCCTTATGTAATAAAATGGCAATTTCTTAATAAATGAATAAATAAGTGAGAAATTCTTCATAGTATTTTTTGTTTAAGAGATATTCTCGATTACTACTTTTCAAATTGTCACCCTGTATGTCCGATGTGGCCTAAATGGAAACATCGCTGTCGGATAGTTTTGCCCGACGCGACATGCAATGTAGGGTAATAACTGGCTTTCTAAAAATGTATCCAACACCTGCATGAGTGTCTCAAAAAAATTTCAAATTGCCTTTCTGAAAAATATAGCTACATAACTGGATAGCTATACTATCTTTATAGCAATCACCTATAGAGTATTATTGTGTAATGCACCTGTAGATGTTTTGGAAATAGCTGAATATATATATATATATATATGGGTTAGCTATGTTGGGTTAGTTGGGCTGTTGCTGTTGCTAGTGGTAGTAAAAAGGCTTAAGCAGCTATTCAATTGAAAACTGGGCAAAATCAATATTTTTTTGGGACACTCTAGCATTCTATTACAACAATACCTACATCCAGCATACAGTATTCTATTCCAACACTACCTACATATCCAGAACTCAGCATTCTATTTCACAACAGTCTACATCTCTGGATCATTCATCCTTTACACAAGCTCATCTATACTTTCTTCATTAACGCACTTTTGGAAAGCCACATCAAAAAAAAAATTAATAATGAAAATAGGCTCGAAAGATTTTCTGGAAAACTAATTTTTGGACGCCCTGTATAATTTACTAATTGCCCAGTTATAGAGAATCAAATAAATCACTATTTAAATTAAAAAAAAAAACATAAATAAGAAAGTTCTGGATTGTTCCAGACTCAGACATTAGAAAAATCAAGGGTTGTTCATTCAAAATTCAATAAATCGTAAAAGGGTACTTGCATCAATTTTTTTTATCGCTGATTGCGTTAGTCGATAAAAAATAAGTCAGCACGTGTTTTTTCTTTTTCTTCTTAGTCAATAATTGACGGAGATTTCTACAACGCTATGAAATACTTAATGAAATATGCCTATGACGTCACTTATCATATAAATTAGAGACGTCTCACATGCTCATTATATCTATATATACAAAACTTAATATTTGTATAACTTCCGGAATAATCATATATGGACAAAATAAAAAAATACGTATCGATTTTTTTTCGATATCCTACAGTTTGCAATAAACAATAATCAATTTAATTTTTCATGCAAGTACCCTATTATCAAAAAATAATAGTTGCTACTAGGTACTTACCAAAATCCAGAAGTCAATTGGTACACTATGGGCACACAACACAATAATCGAAAAATGCTGGTCGGAAAATCTTAACTTGTGCGAGAACAATCGATAGTTCTCGGACGCGACTTCATCTATCAACGATCCGTACTCGACTAAATCTTGTGTGACAAAGAAATTCAAATCTCAACCCCAAAAAAAAAGGTAAACATACAAGGTAATAAATATGAGTGAGTGTGATAGGCAAAAAAAACTAACTGCGTAATAGAGTAGTAGGTACCCAGACGGTAAATGTAAATTCCCTGTTTCTAGTTAGTTCAAGTGCCGAATTAATTTTTTTTAAGTTATTAGCTTTGTTCCAACAACTGTACAATGTACCGTCAAGATTCTGCGCAAAGTCTGAAAATTCGTATACAGAGTGGCTCCAAAACCATTCTTGGGACGGTTTTGGAACAGACCTTATTAATTATAAATTTCAATTTTTGTCTATTCCAGGCTCTAAAATAATTTTGAGGTTTACGAATTGTTCAAAATGTCGTTGAAAAGTGTTCCAAATTGAAGTTCTAAACTGTTCTAACTTGGCTTGAAGGGTTCTAAAGCATTCTAGAAGTTTATCAGTGATTCCTAAATTGTTCTTATAGATTTTTGAGTATTATAGAGCCCTTTTGAAGCTCCAATAAGTATTGTGAGTTGGTTCAAAATAATTCTTAAATTGAATCCTAATTGTTCTAAAATAAATCTGAAATTTCTTAATTGTTCTTTGATTATTTTCGAGCAAATTAATAATAACTATATATCATTAGAAAGAGCATTAAATTCTCTATAAGCCCGTGCGAAATTGGTTATTGTAGCTTGTAGAGTTTCCAAGATATTAAGCAATACAGGAAAAATTTCAATCAATACATAGTTGAAATACCTCCTAAAACTATACAAAAGGTTACTTTTGAAACTAAATTACCAAATAATACAACTTGGCTATTACCTTATATACATGATGAATTTATTAAAATACAGTCAACGTTAGTGACAATTATTGTTGACAATACTGTAGATATTCTTAATCACTCAAGACAGATCATTTGTCTTAGATTGTGATATTGAAGAACATTCACCATTCGAACCGATTGAACTCAATAATTTTGAGATATTAACTTTTGAAAACAAACAACCACGTCAAATGTAAAACTCCTACAAAAGAAACACCCTGAAAAAGTCGATTTAAAATCTCTAATAAGACATGAACACTTGAATGCTGAAGAACGCCTTCAACTCTTCAAACTTATTCAAAAATTTAATAAAATTTTGCATAGACCTGGAGATACCTTAACATGTTAAAATCAAGGTAAGCATGTTATTGATACAATGGACGAAATTCCAATACATACCAAAACCTATAGATACCCTCAATGTTCATAAAGAAGAAGTGAAAAATCAAATAGGAAAAATGTTACAAGATAAAATTATACAACCTGCGAGTTCACCTTGGAGCTCACCTGTTTGGATTGTTCCAAAAAAAGCAGATGCATCAGGAAAGAAAAAATTGAGACTCGTTATAGATTATCGTAAAATAAACGAGAAAACCATAGATTACAGATATCCATTACCTAATATAGCGGATATATTAGATAAGCTTGGAAGATCGCAATATTTTACAACATTAGACTTGGCGAAGAGCGTTTAATGTAGAGCATGGACATTTCGAATTCTTAAGAATGCCCTTCGGATGAAAAAATGCTCTTTCTACATTTCAAAGAGCTATATAAAATGTATTAAAATAATTACTACAAAAAAAGTCTCCCTTCTGCATTTCCCAATTAACATCTAAAATGCCCCATATGGATTCAATTTATCAAAATAGGAAAAATCCCGATAAATCGGGGTAATCGTGGTTACTGGACAGGATCTTTCCTAACAATAGGACGATTAATGATCAAGACGACAATAGTCTTTCAGTGAATATAGCACCAAATTCCCTTTATACGGATATTATTTTGTGAACATAAAAAAAATATATAATATACGAACTTTCCACATAAAATTCTAATTTTCTCTCGGAAAACTTCGGCTTTATCTTGTCATTTTGAGATGCATAAGTGCCCAGAAGAACCCAATAAAACTTTCCTCAAGTATATTAAAAGTTATATTATAAAAGATGCTGTAAATTATTACCGCGATATACTTAGTCGGCATATAAAAAAAGCTTTCTAACTGAATAGAGAAAAAAAAAAAAGAAAACTTTACGGCGAAAGCCGTTCTCGCCTGTTTTCCGACCGCTTTTCTCGGAAAACTTTGAACGAAACTGCTACCTAAAAAAATAAAAGAAAAATATATTAAAAAGCCTTTTCGCAATTCTATTTACTCGAATCGATTTAGCGGGTTCCCGGATTTTTCTTTATATTGTTGAGTTTCAATTTTAGTTTGGAAATTTATATCGAGAGTTTATAATCGGTTGTATTTTCATGAAAATGTAAAAAAAAAGGAAAACGAAAAAAATTGAAACTGAAAACGAAGATGTAGGTACCAGAGAATAACAATTATTTAAATTTCAAACAGAATAAAGTCTATGAGTCTGTTCTCCCAAAGAGTCTCTGACAGTTAGCAAACTATCAGAAAGCATTGCCCATATATGTTTTCAATGTCGCCTTTTCAAGGCAAATCGGTTACTTACCTGAGCGATTGTTTCTGATAGGTTGCAAGCTGTCACAGACTCTTGTGAGAACAACCCTTATATCGCATACATCATTTTAAAGTGAAATCTTGAAGTTATAGATAAAACATTTCCCTATAAATTCGATGTTGAGTTTACATTGACATTTCCTGTTTCAGATGCCATCGAAAATGAGTCTCGGCGGCAGCCAGTGTCACATGTTGGAGCAGCCCAGCTGGTCCAGTCCGTCGGCTAGTCCGTCGCCGCCTCCACCACCGTTGCCGCCCCCAGTGGCGGCGCGTTGGGCCAGGACTGAGCAAAACAGCCAAGATTCGTGTCCGCACTGTAGAGGACGACTGGCTTCCTTGCCTACTAGGACGACATCGTTGAGCAGTTACAGTTGCAAAGGTAAATTTTGATTAATATACGACTACCTTCTGGTTTTCCAGAATGACCTTTATTGTAAGCACCTGAGAGGCATGCAGTTATGTAACGAGGAACGTATTTCCTCATTCTGGGCAGCCCTGTAGTTAATTCGAATGCTCTTCAAAGTTTTATCGGTAGCAAAGTGTCATGGTGATACATTGTTACCACTCTTCTTGCTTCTTTAGGAACATACCATATGATACCATCAGGTATGTTTTCCTATACAATCTGTGATCCTTAATTGTAAAGTCTACGTGATTTTGTTTTTCTTCCGCATCAACTGGTTTTATAGACAACACTTCGAGTAAATATCTACAGCGTTCATCTTTCATCTGTGTGGCTAGAATCCATTCCTTCTTACTTATGTCGACTTGCCATCAAAATTGTCGGATTTTAATGGCTCTGTGCGAAATTAAAACTGGAAAATCCACAGGTTGCTGATAGAATGGTAATCGATGAAAGATTTCAAAAAAAAATTGAAAGATATCGAAGGATATTTTTTCACCTTACCATGTTCTACTTCCAAACTCCACTCAGTTGGCCAGCTCATTCAAAAAGTTCATGTCTCAAGGGTAGGAGTGCAACGAAACCGTCTTGATTTAACCGGTCGCGGCAAACGCAAAACCGCGGGTCTATTTTCTCGGGAGAAGTGTTTTTGGCAACTGGTGCTGCTTGTCGGCAAGAAGTGTCAGGACTTGCCGGTACCCTTTTTATTGTTTTAACGCGCGCATTTTTAAAAGCCAAATTTAGCAAAGCCGTATTTTTCTTAGGCATAGAGCACGCGCAATTCAATTAGAATAAGAGAAAACAAAACATAAAGAAAAACGAATCAATTTCGATTCCCAAATAGGATTTGACATCCTAAATACCCAATTTAACCTAAAACTAAATACAGGGCGCGTAGACGAAACTGAACAGGCTTTACAACAGGATTGCGACTCCAGAGCATCAACATGAGTCATTTTACATTCTGAATAATACTCGACTGAGAACTTATATTTCTGAGTAATCAACCACCATCGCGCAATTCTTGAAATTATATTCCGTTTTGACATTGCTGTCATTGATGCACTACAGTCGTGTGCAAGTCCTAGCAGGTAGACTCGGAATCGTTGAAAACTATTCACAACAGCCAGCGTTTCGAGCTCATATAAATGGTATCGCCCTTCTTCCTTGGTAGTCTGTCGGCTGAAATATTGAACCGGTCTCAACTTTCCGTCCAACTTCCGTAGTATTCCTCTTAGTCCAAATTTAGAAGCGTCTGTATAAACCTCTGTTTCTGCTTTCGGATCATAGTAGGCAAGGAGCGGTCTTTCAGTCAGAATCGACTTCAATTTTTCGAATGCTTCCTGTTGATCAGTTTCCCATATAAATGAAGTGTCTTTTTTAGTCAACAAAGTTAAAAGTCGTGCGATTTGAGCAAATGATTTCAGTCCAACAACATTTTGAGGTATGGAAAAATTCTTTTATGTTTGAATTTCCACAGTACCGGGTCATACACCATTTACACTAATTTCGTGTCCTAAGTAATCAATACTTTCCTGGAAAAATTTGCATTTTTCAAGCCGTAGAGTAACGCCTGATTTTCTGAAACACTCCAAGACATCTGCAAGAGCAATCAAACTGAAATTGAAGTTTGTAGATGGCACCATAACATCATCCATATAGGCCATCGCAGTAGAATATCGCATAGCGCCCAATATTTTACTCATGGTGCTCTCTGGACCATTGCTGGAACGTTAATCAAACCGAATGGCATACGGAGATACTCATATTGCCCATCCGGAGTGACGAAAGCCGTTTTTTGCCTTGACTCCTCCGCCATGGGAATCTGATGGTATCCACTAGCCAAAGTAGTGAATAATTTACCCTTGAGTACTTCGAGGTGATCGGACTAGCGTATGGAGAATTTGAATCTTGGATTATAGCAGCAGATAGAAGGCTGTTCACTATCTCTCGCACTTTTTCTCTCTCACTGAATGATAAACGATAAGGCCTGGGTGTCACAGGCCACTCGTCCTTTAAATTTATATTCATTTCTACACATTCAATTCTCCCCAATTCATTATCATTCTGAGCAAAACAGTCACGATATTTATTCAATAATAATAAGAGTTTTTGAGCATCGTTCGGAGTTAAATTTGTTAAAATCTGATTTTTCAAGTAACTTAAGGTGAATTTGGACATTAACTTCATTAATGCTTACCTGTTTACTCTCGTCTTCACGCTTCAATATTGAAATTATGGCAGCACTGGTTGACGTCACACAGTTAAGCATAATATATTCCCTGAGTGATTGAAATGATTGGCATTTGTTCACAAAAACGTCACCATCATAATCGCCATTGCTCACATATCCAGTATGGTGGAGAGGAATCTTAACCTTATTTTTAGTCTTCAATATAATTTTGGCTGGTAAATCATCAATTTCGGGGAAATTTGTAAATATGGTGGCTGTGGTTATAGCTTCTGGGTCGCTCAAAACAGATCTACCAATTAAAATGGACAAAACCTGAAGATGGTCAGGCACAATGTAAACTGAGACGTCATACTTGAAAAGATTCACATTCAGATTCACTGTAGCAGTCGGCCCAACTTATTCCTGCCGTTTTGGCATCGGTTTCCCTGATTGTTACGATTTCGCACCCAGAAACGATAAACTCCTTGAATCGGTGACCGTTTATGGAACAGTCCACGTAGTAACCATCCATTTTTACTGTCTCCTGAATGTCACACATTAAAGTCGAGTGCTCTTTGGATTTGATGCTATTATTTTTGTTTTTGAAAGATTTTTCAGTAGGATATCCCAGTTTCCTACACAGGGAACATCCCAGTCTTTGCGTTCGACAATGAACCTGCATGTGACCGGTTTCTCCGCAGTGGTAGCACTTGCCTCTCAACTTCCGCTTAGAACCTGATGTGAAACGATCATCTTTAGAGCATCCGTCCTATGCTTTTCTAGAAAATTCTTGTTTGCCATATGGAAGTGCACGTTGGAATCGTGTATTTTCCAAAGTTGATAAATATTCTCGGTAAAGATCCTGTGCACAAACATACCTGTCGACTTTGGCGCCAATAATCATGGCTACAGCGTTTTTGTCCGAAATTTGACAGACTGAGTAGTTGTTGCTTCGCAAAATGGTATTCAGTCCAGGTTTCATCTGAACTTTTCACTCTGGAAATAAAATTTTTCAGGTTGGTTGGAAAATCACGATGGTCTGGAAAAGCATTTGTGAACAACTCCTTCCACTCACTCCAAGAACGTCTATAGACATTCAGATTATCGTAGTACCAGGTTTTAGCTAAGCCAGCTAGCCTACTTTGCATATTATGATAAATCACAACTTTTTCGTCCAACTGATATGAGCCAGCTGATATATTTTATCCAACCACCTGCTGAGCTGAAAGTTGAATCGGTAGTGTGATGTGAGCTTCTACTTGAAGAGAGGCAGCGCACCAAGGATGATACACACTACTACTACAGGATAGTCTATCTTTATAAGGCCTGTGTGGAACAAATCCCCCCGCGCCAAATCACCAGTTGTGACGTAGCAAGCATGTTATTTTTCGAGTAGAGTGTTTTCACAGCTATCAGACCACATTCCTACCTCTACCACGTAAAACCCCTCCTCCAGCACCGCCATCATACCACTACCCACTTCCACTGTAAACCCCCTTCCGTGAAGCTCCTGAGTAGTTTTTTGGGTCAAGTTCACCAGATTCACAAATTTTAGGGTTGGCCTGAGTCAAATTTCCAAACTTTCAGATCAAAGGCGCCGCCCATCTAGAGATTTTTCCACGGTATCGAAAAAATTCCCACGGTTGGCCCGGGTCAAATTCCTAAAATTTCAGATCAAAGGCAACCGATCTAGAGATTTTCCCACGGTATCAAAAAAGTTCCCACGGTATCGAAAAAGTTCCCACGGTTGGCCCGGGTCAAATTCCCAAAATTTCAGATCAAAGGCAACTGATCTAGAGATTTTCCCACGGTATCGTGAAAGTTACCTCGCTCAAGTGCCTTCAGCTATCAGACCAATACCTACCTCTACTACGTTAAAAAACTTCTACTCTGAAGAGGTACTTCTTTCCATATCCCTTCACTTTCTTGAACACTAAAAAATACCTAAACATTTCCTGCATTTGTATTCGTGAATTTTGGAGTTGGCACTTGAGCGTGGGAACTTTTTCGATACCGTGGGAAAATTTCTCGATCGGTTGCCTTTGATCTGAAATTTTGGGAAATTGACCCGGGTCAACCGTGGGAATTTTTTCGATACCGTGGGAACTTTTTTGATAACGTGGGAAAATCTCTAAATCGGCGGCGCCTTTGATTTGAAATTTTGGGAATTTGACCCGGGCCAACCCCAAAATTTGTGAATCTGGTGGATCATTTACGTAGTAGAGGTGGGTATTGGTATGATAGCCGGGGGCATTTGAGCCAAAAAAGTGCTCAAGGTAGGAGCTTCACGGAATGGGGCTTACAATGCAGGTGAGTAGTGGTATGATAGATTAGCTACCAAAAAAGTAGCTAAGCTAGTAGCTTAACTACTTGGTAGCTAGCTACTGCCCAGCTCTGGCTGGAGGGGGGTTTTACGTGGTATAAGTGGGTATGTGGTCTGATAGCTGTAAAAACACTTTACTTTCCCGCCTTGACGTTAGGCTGTTTAAACAGCTGACAAATTAGTTATGACGTCGGAAATGGTGACAAACCAACATGGCGGCGATTACCAAAAACGAGGCCGATAAGCAATCATGTAGGTGTGTCGAGGAGTTAGCGAGACATCAGCATCCTCGAAATTTCCAGGTCGACTATCTCAAGGAACGTCGTAAATCTCCGCCAAATCAGTACGATGCGAACTTGCTCTTTCAGAAAACTATGGTGTCGAACTAACATGTCTAGAGTCTAGCGTACTTACATTTTTTTTTGGTCTTTTTGTATACCGTTTGTACCTGCCAGCAACGTCATTGCTAGAACTGGAAGA